ATACTAAAATAATAAAATGTTAATTAATGCTTATCCTGTGAGCGCATGCAGCTAGAAGAAACAGGGCCCAGGAACCAGCCAGACCAAGACATGGACAAAACTGCTTTGATATCAGCCACAAAAACCTAAAACATGAGGGGAAGGCATTAGAGCAGCCACAAACCGACATGCCTGTCCAGGGGAGAATGGACCAAGAGCAGTAAGAGAAGAACATGAAACTGTGAAGTGACGGACGGGACGGACGGGAATGAAGCCCGCCTACTAGGTTACCCAGGTAGTAGGCACTCTAGTAGTTAGTTACCTTAGGTAGGTAGGTACTGCTGAATGGGATTCCTATACAACAGAGCAAGGCTACGGTAGCTCAGGTCTCGCTCTTTATTAGGGTAGGTACCTACACTTGCTCCACTACGGATCGTCACTGCTAAGGCTGGTCGGGTGGTTCTTTCCTTTCCTGACCGCTGTCAACTGCCACATAACGTCAGTGAGATGAGGCATCTGCCACTGCAACTGCATGTGCAACTGTCACTGTCACTGCCTGGCCCTGCCTGTCTGAGGTGGGCTGCTACTGCACTGGGAAATCTCAAACATCCAATCCCGACTAATAAAACCAAGACCCAACCAACTTAGATCCCGGCCTACACGTACGTTTGGTGCTTTTTAGCCTCAGCAACAAGAAGGGAAAAGTAGAGAGATAGGCTTACGCGCTTCAAGCTTAACTCATCTATTTCTCTGGTTCCTAGCCTGATTCTCGCTTTATTCGGCCCTAATAACATAATAAACATCACCGCTCTCTTTGTCAATCCGATTCACCGGGGCCTGGACAGAGCTTCTGGGCTCCGATCCACCGCCGCTTTGTTGTTTCGTCTCCAGCCAGCGCGCTAACACTCTCCAATCTTCCCTTATCGTGTGCGACTGGGTCACTTTCCATGCCTTGTCGCTCGGCATCAACCACCACCACTATCAGCCACCATCACATCGCGACAACCCTGCCAATCGGTCGTGAATGACGCATGATTTGAGCATCGTCCATTTTCAGGGACTCGCACTACTTCCAAGATCTTTATCCCATTTGTGTTTTTCCTCAGCGTTTCCATCGTCGCGTTCTCGGCCTCCCTGCGTACCCCTCGCGCGCGTCACCTGCGATCGCCAAACCTCGTACCGCACCACATCGCAACCGTACTGCACAGCATCGCACCACACCCCCGTCTTCGTCCTTCCGGCATGCCGACATCCTTGAACAATGGAAGCCGCGGCGAAGACGGTTCAGCAGCTCACACAGCGCATCCTGCCCGAGAAACCACATCATCTCTCTTATTCCCCCGACTGGCGATATCACATCCCCGCCAGCGAATCCCGACAGAAGCATCCTGAGGAATGGGATACTACTCGCTTGCAATATTCAACTCTCGTGTCGGAAGCCGATCGCGGTGTACTCCTTACTAGATCCTACTACGACATGCGTGTCGAGCCTCCTAAGCCCGTCCCTCGCGACGTGGGCATTCTCGCAAAAGGCGGCGAGAAGAAGAAGCTGTCACTCAGTGACTACAAGAACAAAAAGACGTCTGGTGTGACCTCGGATGCCTCCACCCCAGAACCACCCAGCGCCAAAAAGCGCGACCTTGAGCGCGCATCTGCAGAGCCAAGATCTGTACCCGAGATCAGGAAGCCCGATTCACAACGACAAAAGGATCAGCACCCCGATACCAAATCACAAAAGTCCAGGGAACTTCCAGTTGTTGACATGAGGTAAGATGCGGCTTTGAATGTCCCATGATTGCCTGGGTGATGTCGCTCCCATACTGACTCTGCTCCAGGCTACCCCCTAAACCGCCCGCATCCCTTCCACCTCGTCCTGTATCACCAGACAGCAGAAAACGTGCATCGAATGTCGAGGATGACCACAGGTCCCAAAAACGACACAGGCCGGATATGCCTCGCTCTCACGATGATCGATCGCGACCAGGCCGCGATGAACCCCCTCGTAGAAAGGATAGAGATTCTCTGGCGCCATCTGATATTCCACCAAGGGACAAGCCTACTAGCTCATCCTCGCTTCCCAATGGACGTAGTATATTGAAGAGTACCAGCACCTCCGCTCGCAATCCTTCTCCGGCTGGCCGCGTACGTGGCGACTCTGTCAATGGTGTTCGACCTGGCGCATCGGGGAGCACGAAGGGAACACCAAATAAGATAGATAATGCTTCGCGGTCGTCCGTGCCCCCGCTATTATCACCTCTTCACTTAAGCTGGGACAGCCAAAACTCAATGGACAAAGGCGACAGGAGACGGGTTCGTGAGGACGCTGCGGATGCCGCCAAAGCAACGAAACCGAAGAAACTGGACCCACCCCCAGCATCGAAGACAAAGAACGATGCAACCAGAGAAAGATCTCCAATTCGCTTACCTGCGCTCCTATCTCCCACATTACCGAGCTCCCTGGAGGCTGAGCTATCACGGAGAAAGGTTTCAACGAAAGCAACGGAGTCCAAGACCCAAGATGACCTAGAAAAAGATGAGCCGCGCGAGAAGCGTTCCGGAGAAAGCCACAAGTCATCAACGGCGAGGAAAGCGCCTGTCGAGCATGAAGAAGAGGAGGACGGAGAGGGTGGAGAGGAGCAAGATGGTGATGCTCACAGTACCAAAGAAAAGAAACGGCTGATCGTTACTCTACGAATATCCAAGAGAATGCGGCAAACGCTCAAGCGTATCCTGGCCCTACCTTCTAAGCGCAGAGAGCGGTCTGAAAGCATGGAGGCGCCGTCTATCAGTCAGGCGAAGAAGCGCCCTGCGCTGTCAGACAACACCGGCGATACAATAGCTGTCAAAAGACCTCGAATGCCTTCGGTTTCTGCCAGTCTCCCACCACCATCGACTCCCTCTAAAAAGGGTGCAGCCATGTCCCGAGTCAGTTCCAGCAACTCACAGGCTCACACACCGGGCGACTCGTTCACCGTAACACCTGTACCTGTTGGGTCATCAGATCGGCCTACCACTAATGGCACAGATGCCGCTCGTGACAAGGCCGATCCACGGGCCATTTTTGATAAACACACACGATTTTCTACCTTAGGTCGGCGACTGAAGCATGAGGGCGATGTCGCTAATCAGCGGTTTAACAAGCTTTCGAGTAGTGGCGACAAACGAGGGGCCGATTCGAGTCGCAAACAATATTACGCACTCGCCGTGGAGAGCACTGTTGCATTCATGGCGAGCTTCTACCTTCTTAACGTCAGTCGAAATTTACAAAACAAACCATCTGATCCGGGCTCTTGGGCCAGCCTGATCAAGATGGTGGATTATCTAACAAACGAGACACGCCGTGACTCGCGGCGAAGCCAACCCATGTATGCCCTTATCTTGATTCTACAAGCCATCACTGTGGATGAATTCCTCAAGGCATCTGCCAACTACGAGAATATCTCTAAGGAGGAGCTCTTTGCACACCAGTCGACTCGTTATCGAAATTGGCCCGCGGTTCACAGCATTTATGATGGCATTGGAAGCTCTCGTCTTCGAGCTGACATTGCGCCCTGGTCGACTGTCGAGGAAGTTTGCCAAGCGTCAATGCGTGTTGTTCGGCACTGGTGCCAGGAGGAGAATGTCCAGTGGTCACCGGAGTTTGATCCTAATGAAGCCAGCATTAGGGTTGCCCGGTAATGAGGCCATTTTCCCTTGTCCTGTCACGTACATGATCATCGAATAATCTTTTGAGCTGACGCTAATATCAAGATCACTGACGAAAGAATGGATTATGCGGCATCCCACATTCATGAGTCATCGATAGGCCAAAACCGAAAAACTCACCATAGACCAGTGTAGTAGCATCTACGACAACACTGGGAGCGCGCCATAGAAGACACCCAGTTGAAACGAAGCTTGAGTTAAGCGAGATGATTTCGCATTGTGCACATCTCATCAAATGTGCTTATTACTGAACTCGAGGTCGAGTTTGCACATTGCCTCCTGACCTGCCACCCTGCTGAGGAGCGTGGCAAGGACCAATGTTACTTCTTTTGCTTGTACTATGATATCCCCGGGTCAAAACGGATAGCGATCAATTTTCATCTCTTCATGCCTCGGGCGTCGCGGGTGCGGTCATGACATGACATTTCTCATCTTCTTTTCTGTTATTGTACTCTATGGCTGAAAGGGGTTGCTTTCCGAGAAAGACAACGGATAATGAGACGAGGGAGTCAAAGGAGCATCTGGCGAAAAAGAAAAAGGGAACAGCAAAGGGCGTGTTTACAGGGAAATACCATTTCGTAAGGTATGCATACACATACATACATTCACACATAAATGCGTGCATGTCCCAGCATGGAACGAAAATAAAGGACTTGAACTCAATAGCTTGACGCATAGACCTGACACTGTCGAGATCGATGCCAGAAAGAACCAATTAAGCCGATATCGTGAACTACCCAGAAACTGGTATACGAGTTGCATGCCGCGGATGGGTTTAACCATGCTGTAGTTGCAGGTAGTCTTGGCTTAGCCGACGGTGTTGATGAGTTAGCAATCTAGGAGGAGAGAAAACTCAGGACCTTGATCCTGAATAAATAAAGACTTATTTAGGTAACTGAGCATAAGCTTACGATACCTTTTGCTAAGTTTTATTTGAACACCCTATGTCAAGATCTGATGGTTTCTTGTTTCCAGAGGACCACGGAGAGACTTACTGATACATAGGTAGCTTAAGTCGCCAAGCTGGCCATGGGCAAAAAAATACATCACAGATAGACATGAACGGTTTTCAAGAGGGATGGATCTATTTATGTATTTTTTCTGTCCACGGCTATACTAAGATCAATTGTCTAGTAGGGAACTGGAGCCGATGAGAACAAAGTCGTTGTCATCCCCTCCGACAATCTCCCTTAATTTTGGTATTTTTACTTCCTTTCATTTCTTTGCTTCATTAAAACACGCGGCAGACTGGCATCGTCCTCATGTCGCGTCTGATTAGGTTTGGTTTTGCTTCCAGCCTCTTGAGCGCTCTACGCTTACTTGGAGGCATCGACCTTGGCAACGTGGGCCAGGAGGTCGAGGACACGGCGGGAGTAACCCCACTCGTTGTCGTACCAGGAGACCAGCTTGACGAAGTTGTCATTGAGAGAGATACCGGCCTTGGCATCGAAGATGGAGGAGTTTGTGTTGCCGTTGAGATCGGAGGAGACAACATCGTCCTCAGTGTAGGCCAGAACGCCCTTGAGGTCACCCTCAGAGGCCTCCTTGATGACCTTCTTGATCTGGTCGTAAGAAGCACCCTTCTCAAGGCGGACCGTAAGATCGACAACGGAAACGTTGGCGGTAGGGACACGCATGGACATGCCAGTGAGCTTGCCGTTGAGCTCAGGAATGACCTTGCCGACAGCCTTGGCGGCACCAGTGCTGGAGGGGATGATGTTCTGGGCAGCGCCACGGCCACCTCGCCAGTCCTTGGCGGAGGGACCATCGACTGTCTTCTGGGTAGCAGTGTAGGAGTGGACGGTGGTCATGAGACCCTCAACGATACCAAACTTGTCGTTGATGACCTTGGCGAGGGGAGCCAGGCAGTTGGTGGTGCAAGAGGCGTTGGAGATGATGTCGGCAGAGCCGTCGTACTTGTTCTCGTTGACACCGACGACGTACATGGGAGCGTCGGCAGAGGGGGCAGAGATGATGACCTTCTTGGCACCACCAGCAAGATGGGCCTTGGCCTTGTCAATGGTGGTGAAGACACCAGTAGACTCGACGACGTAGTCGGCGCCGGTCTCGGACCACTTGATGTTGGCGGGGTCGCGCTCAGAGTAGAACTTGACAGTCTTGCCGTTGACGACAAGGTCGTTACCATCGTTGCCGACCTCACCCTTGAAGATACCGTGGGAAGAGTCGTACTTGAGCATGTAGACCTGCGTAGGGGAGTTGACGTTAGCTTGAGGCTCAAAGCTGAATGTGATATTGTATGGGGCGTGGGGCAGTGAGGGGTAGCTTGGCGGGACATGAAGCATCGCTCTCTAGTACTATGCCATGACACGAAGCTGGCGACAGCTCGCGATGTCAATTACATATCCCGGCACAATGAGTATTATGGACGATATTGTGCGATGCTCCAGTTGAATCGAAACGCGCGTTTAAACGGTCGTCACAAAGCGACAAGCTCCCGAGCAGTGGATTGTAGGGTTGTTGAAGTATCGAACGAGTTCGCAGGGGGTCTACTTACGGCGTAGTGAGGCTCAATGAAAGGATCGTTGACAGCAACAACCTCGATGTCGGGGTGCTCGACGGCGTTGCGGAAGACGATACGGCCGATACGACCGAAACCGTTGATGCCGACCTTGATGGGAGCCATTTTGATTATTGTAGAAAAAATGGTAGTTTCTGTTTAGGCAAGAGAGTCAGATGAGATATCTTTAACTAGGAAGAAGATGGATGAAGTGAGATGGAGAGAAGAGAAGAGCTGAAGGGAAGGTTGAGGTTGAGGTGAGGGGGTGGGGTAATTTATATCTGCATGACGGAGGTTGAGTGGAACGGGAAGCTTTTTGCTGAGGAAGGTTGCCACAGCACAGGGAAAGAGCAAGTGGAAGTGGGTGTGGACTGGAATTGGAATTGGAACGTCGGTGCAAATGGAAGGAGGGGCAAGCAGATGAGGCTAGAGAGAGGGAGAGAGAGAGGCAGAGAGGAGAGTAGAGCTCTGAGTTACAGAGCTCGATGCCCTGAAAGAGGTTTCTATCTCCCTCTCCCTCCCTCCAGTCTGTCTGTCCCCTCTCTGTAGCAACACCAATGCCATGCCCGTGTGATCCATGCCAATCAGTGCCAACCAATCCATCACCCATATCGATTGACGTGTCGTCGTATCGTCTTCTCATTATGTTGGGTCGAATGCAGACATGATATGACATGACAATCTGTTTTGCTGGTGGAGAGGCAAGAGGAGAAGTTGAGAGGCAAAGCAATGCATCATCATCATCATGTTATGATACTGATGCGTCGTGGTGGTGGTGGTGGTGGTGGTGGTGGTGATGGAGATGGAGGGGTAAACTGTTCACATACCAAGAGGTTTGTAGTGGAAGTTGTTGCGATGAAGCTGAGGATGATGAGAATGAAAGGAAAGAGAAGAAAAGAGCAGCAGGAGTGGGAGTACAGCTACATATATGAATTCCGGGACGTTGGATTGCCTTGCCTTACCTTATTCACTCATCCTCCCTCTGCTCTACTCTCTCATCAGAGTAAGCTCTGCTCTACCATTAGCAACCAACCCACTTTAGACCACCAACACCACATCATCAATCATCCCACGAACATACCCCCCTGTTGCCCGGGGGGTACACAGTACAGTGCCTACTAGTGTATCATAACAGCAGGGGCCAATGGAACATTCAATATCGGATCAGAGGGTGGGAGCTCTTTTTTTTTTTTTTTCTCACTCACTACCTAAAGTAGGTAACCTAACGTTAGCTCAGTCAAGTCCATCATGACCAATTCACAGCCTTGTTCCTATGTATGACTCTACTTCTTAGTTAAGGTATTACATTCTTGCTCTAGACTTACAAATCCATATCCATAATACCATAGATAGCAACTATCACCATCTCTACTTGACGTCTTGGGCACTGCCCGCTCAGCTTCATCATGTCTCAGACCCCACCACTACCTAACCTAACCTTTCCATGGTGACGAGAGCTTCGTGGTGGGGTGATGCCCTGAAAAGCTACCTCCCTGCAATATGCCCCTCCCTCTCAAAACCATGTATCTTTTCTGCCCCTCCATGCATGAGGTGAGGTGCCCAGTGCCACTCTCTGTTGATTCCATCGCGCGTTCACGTCCACCTTCATCTTTGATATTTTGTAGGTGCCGCCGAACAAGGCACCGCATTCTACCGTGCAACTCTCCGTGTTAGATAGCAATTCGATGGTTAATTATCCAAGGAATGCGTCACTTGTCGATCAGATGTTTTCACACAATCCCATCTCTCTCCGGAGCCTCCGGTTATAGTGGACTGGACATGAACGCCTCATCATCTTGGGCAAGGTACGATGAGATCTGTAGGTTTTACGCCGCAAAGTTGCAATGCAATGCAATCCCTGGCTTCCCTATTTGCCGCCATATTATCCATTCTCACTTTGCCAACCCATAATATGCTTCTATCTTGGTTTCATCGTTGACGGCTGCCGCCGCCGCCACCGCCGATGAATATGCACGTCCCTCGACATATTGAAAGCTCGGTTCGCCTTGTTCACCGATCACAAACGAGTCGTACGGTTCCGAGTCGAGTCCTCGCTACAGGTAACTCTCGTATGAATCTAATCCTTTGTGAACGTGTCTTGTTTCTCTCTCGTCTTTCGATATGCTTCGGCCTCTACCTATCTCGACGACAAATGTTTTTAATTTCCTATTTACGTATCCAATGCTTTTGCCCACTTATACCGGAGTCACCTTAATTGAGCTAGAAGCTTCACCACCAAGACGGTGACACTGAATGAGGCTTAGTATCTGATCTTCGCTCAAACCTAGCTGCGGGTTTTTACAGCTTGTGTTGCGTCTTTTACGCAATGTGGCGGGGCTGTACGTTCTCGGTCTTGCAGTCGCGGGGGGTTTTGTTCAGTCACAGTATTGACTCGATATCAATATGCAAACATGATATAATACGATTAGAACAAGGTGTTGTAGCCCATCATATCAGTTGCTGTCGCTCAAGGATACGGTAATTTTGCCAGCTTGATCTAGACGTGCCTGTCTCCCAAGTCTTAGCAATAGGGTAGCCAATATTGACCTGATGCTGTTTCACGCTACCCTGTTGTCCCTCACGTCTCTTACGGTGAGCTAACAATTGTTGAGAGGTATCATGATGGAACAAAAACAGCTCAACTAAACTCACTCAGTCCAGCCCAGCTCAATCATGGACTCACCGAAAACAGGGCCTCTGTCGGCCCGTTGGTAGGCCACGAGCTTTCGCGGACCGACTATATTCGCTTCTCCTTATGCTCTCGTTCTTGACTACCTTACATCACATCAGATCAGACCAGTCCATGCCGCCTGTAGTAATGTCAATTCCATCGCCAAAACGAAATCCGCTTATCTGACATCGGGCCTTTGTCGAGACCCCTGGGTGTGTCCAGCTTCTATTGACAATCACCAAAAATGGAGACCCTGAATCTGCCAGAGCCCTATCATATCGTGCCTACGATCCCACAAAACCACGGACCCTTATGGTCTCATATTCCTCGATACTGTGTGTATCTATCTCGAAATCTCACCGAGATTCCTCACCTGAGATCGAACCTCTCCTGACCTGCGTCCACCTGGGCTGACCGAACCCCTGCCCTGTCTTTTCATATCCTCCACCATGATCCTTGAGCGAATCCAGTGCTAATCTGACCTGGACCTGGACTAGCTACATACAGTTCAGCACATCCTAACATACATGTACATACATACATACGCATTGCAATATCAGTTCATGATATCGATCCTTCTAGCATTACTCGAATCACCCAATACTACTGATAATACCAATGCCGAGATACCTTGATCGACATGATTTCAAGGCCAAGCCCACATAGACTCTCATCATGTTACGTACGAAAACTCGTCGTCGAATAGATCCCGAACCCCTACAATTCACTTACATACTGAGATGCAACTTCTGACATACATCATTCCCGAACAATCCCTGCTCCTCCGATCTAGCCCGTTCGTCTCCGGGAGTCAACCTCCTGCTCCCTCGGTGCTTGACCGTTCGGCTACGGCTGCCGCCCCGGCTCCCGCTCCACGTACCGGAGCATCACGGGATCACGGGCTTGGATCGGCTCAAGCCTCGCATGCCAGGGCGCATGGTAGGTTCCAACCTCGTCCGTCCCTCCGTATAACCCCATACAACCCCATCATTCTCCCCAGATGTCTCCATTATCTTACTCCATACTCCCTGCCCCGGCTTTTCAGCCTCTTTTTCGAGATTCCACTCGCCCGGCCTCACCCGTTCCCGGCGCACTTCGGGATCCCCAGGAACGAACTGCCACGTTATGCCCTACCATGTCCATCTATCTTGGGTCTTTCCAACCCTTTGATGGTCTTTTTGTTTTTGTTTGGCATTTAGCTTCCCTCTTTCGTCATCTTCCCGCGGCACTATCATGCACCATCATGATTCTCGACCATTGACCTTTATGGAAACCTATCCCAGTCAGCGGCCAAGCCTTGTTGGATCCTCATGATCTTCGCCCACTTCCTAGGACCAAGGTGCAGATAAAGTGGCCATCTAAGATAACTTGATTTTCAATATTGTCTTCAGATTCGGAGCCACAGACCCGAAGCTATCTGTGCTATGCAGTCTTTCCCATGCATGCTGTAAGTACTTGACGTGAAACGGGATCCACTCACCGTCATGTCCGGGCTAGAACGCCCACTTACAGCCCGTTTTGTTCTTGGCCCTGTACACATATGACTGGTTGTAAGAGCATGCATACACAAGAACATGAGCCAGCGGATGTCCATCTCCGGAACATGGGAAAGACCGCTGCAGGTGCCCTTTTGAGCTGAGACTCGCTCGTTGCCAATCATTCTGCGATAGAGACAAGGGCCGGACCACACCAGATATCTGTTCAGCCCGCACTACCTTAAGTTTGTTTCTCGGCTGATATCCCATCCCGTTGTAATGCCTTCACTCAAAAGCATTGACATGTAAAGACCACTCGTGGCCCTCCTTAACCGCTCGGAACTCGACCGCGCCCTCTGGGAAGTACCCAGCATCCTTCCACGCCTTCATTGTGGCCCCGTCATATGGCCCTTGACTGTCGTTTCCATCGCGTCCATCTATCCATCGGAACTCCCACATTGTTCCCGGCTTCACCGCTGCCTGCTCATCCTGGTTTGTTTGTGAAGCTTCTGGCTCCACCCAATCCTCTCCTGTCTCCTTGCGATATTCTCGGACGAGGAGCTCTCTCTCTTGTTCGTAAATCTCCTCATGATCCCGGCTTAACAGCTTATCTGCAGCTTCTGTGATGGCATCAATCGATGCCTTGATCTTCTTTTGCTCCACATCCTCAATGTTCTCACCGCCATCAACCTCCATGCCTTCAGCACCCTTATTCATCTTCTTGAGCTTCCACTTCGGGATCTTTTTGGGCTTTGTTTGCTTTTTGCCGAGTCGGGCTAGAGCCTCGAGTGGCGTCTCAGCGCGCTCGAGATTGAGTATCAGAGTCTTGAGCAAATCTGACACGAGGACCTCGTCGTCCTCTAGGCGCTGCTTTCGTGCCTCAGCCTCGCGCTTCTCATGCGCGGCGGCTGCCTTTCTCATCTCCTTCTTGCTGAGACCTTCCAACCAGTTGTCGTGCACGGCATCAGGGTCGCCACCTTTGCGAACGTAGTTGCCATCTTGGTCGAATTGACCCTCTTCCATTTCTTGCTTCAGGTTGAATGCTTCGACTTTGGGGGCGTTCTTCTTGAGACCACCAGCGCCGACCTCTTCATCGATGCCCTCTTCTTGTATGGCTAGGTCTACATCTGCCTCGTCGTCGCTGCTTTCATCGTCGAGCCGGATGCCCCCCTTGTCTCTGCTGGTGTTCTCTACGCCCTCGATTTTATCCGCATCTAGGAATCGGACTCTGTCCTTCTTGCGACCATTCTTATCGAAGTCTCCCTCCTCGGGAACCTCCTTTTCCCCACCAGCATCGTCCGCAGCAAACATGTCATCGTCATCATCATCACCAGCCGCAGTACCCGGAGCTGCAGGGTCAGGATTGGTGGCGTCGTAATTATCGAGCTGTGCAAGAAGGTCGACTTTCCCTCGCTTGCGATTCTCGGCGCGTGCATTGAAGGTTTCGTTATCTGAATCACTATCATAACCATCGATGTTGACAGCTCCACGCTTCGTAGCTCCAGATACACCAATGACATCGGCATCGAGAATAGCATCTTCTTCGCGCGCGTCAGGCGCAAGCGTGGAGGGATTTCGCACGTCAAACTTGACTCTCTTAGAATCGCCGCCGTCTTCGTTGTGATGGGTACGCGCAAAGTTCTCGCCATCGCGCTTCGGGCGCGCTGCCGAATATCGAGACGCCATGGCCACTATTGATTGAGCCGTTGAATGCAAAGAATATGAGAATTGGCTCGGTAGTGTCAAAGTGAGGATTGCTTGAATTGGAAACGCAAAGTGAAATAATGAAGAAAGCTTGATAGAGCTTATATGTATGTTTTAAACTTCTGAGCATGGGTTCCAGGACTCGCTATTCTGGTTGGGGCAGTCAGCTCCACTGAGCTGATGTTACTTGACAGGTACCTGAACTTAGGAGGACATTCAGTGCCTTGTCAATACCCGGCTTAAAAGGATAATCCCCAGTACGCAATAACACGGCTTTAAATCCAGTATTATATGTGTTTAACTGCTTGTTAGAGTCTTATTGAGTTTGGAATTAAATGTTTTGAAAACAAGCGAGGTGCCTTATCAAACTAGTATAGCACTGTACTACGGAGTACCTACCTACCCCGTAGTGTCCTTGCCCGTGTCCCTGACAAACCAAACTGCGTCATCAAGAGCTGCCTTTGTAGCCTCCACACGCCCCACGTTACCTGTGGCTTTGGACCTTCAACGAACATTGATGGAAGCTCATCCTGTAAACATTTCAACCTCGCAACTGTGAATCACCGCCCTTCTCCCTCTGAATACTTAAGACACACGGTTCTTGTCAGCAGCGTGAGAAAACAGAGCATATTTTCAAGGCAGCCGATTTACTTCCTGACCGCCTATATCTTCTTCAAGTCCTGCACCTCCGAGATCTCTAAATCGACTGCGTACCAACAAACTATTGTCGCCATGGTAAGCCATCCTGCCCCGTCTTATGATTTGGTTCGCTAAGAGGTATATAGTATTCAGGCTTCGGCGGTGGGTTTGATCCCGCTAACCCCGACCACCTCTACAACATGGCCCGCCACGGACGACGACCTATTGTGCAACGGTTTGACGAGTACTACCGATGCTATCCTCTAGTCATGGCCCCCGGAGCTGAAAGACCAGAACTCAACTACGGCTCCAAGATCATTCTACCACCATCCGCTCTCGATAAGGTGTCTAAGCTCCATGTGCAGTGGCCTTTGCTCATGGAGCTGATCAACGGAGAGAAAGGCAGACACTCCCATGCGGGTGTGTTGGAGTTTATTGCGGAGGAGGGCCGGGCATACATTCCTCAATGGGTATGGGGCGACTCTGTACTATTGAAAGGTCTTGTTACTAACACTCACTAGATGATGGAAACTCTTGGGATGGACGTTGGTGACATGATCCAGGTCCGTACCACATCATTGGAGCTGGCCAAGATGGTCAAGCTACAGCCTCAATCCGTCAACTTCCTTGAGATTAGTGATCCCAAGGCAGTGCTGGAGAAGGCTTTCCGCAATTTTGCCACCCTTACCAAGGGTGATGTCTTCAATTTCGCCTACAATGATGAAGTCTATGATGTGGCCGTTCTCGACGTCAAGCCCGAGACGGACAAGATGGGAGTCAGTATGATCGAAACCGACGTGTCAGTAGAATTCGCGCCTCCAGTCGGCTACGTCGAACCTGAGCGCCAGAGCGGGACCAGCACCCCAAGAAGCACACGAGGTGGTGTTCCTGCTGGAGGCCTGCTACACAACCAAGGAACCATGGCGCAAGCCATCAACTACAGCGCCATTGCTCCATCAGTGACAAGCAATGTGACAAACTTCTTTGGAGAGGGCCAAAAGCTTGCCAAGAAGGGAAGCAAGGCTCCAACACCCAAGCCAGCTACTCCAGTTCCTACGGTGGAGATCCCAGGAATGCCTAGGAAGCGCGATGGTGCTCCGGCAGCTCTACGCCTACCACCTAACAAGCTTTTCTTCGGATACGAGATTAAGCCAGTCAAGACGGACGCCGATAAGGAAGAGGAGAAGGAGAACGCCAACAGGCCTCACTTTGCTGGCCAAGGCCAGACACTTCGGGGTGCCGTTAAAAGAAAGGGAGAAGGAGACGACAAGACCAAGGCCCCCGAGAAGAAGGGTACGAGCGAAGGAAATAGACTCGACGGTCGACGGCCACGATGAACAAGGACAATGCAACGAATTGGACTGGCGTTTGGGTGGTAGGCAAAGTGATTTAGAGCTTGGTTCAACTTATACTGGGTTAGGTAGTCTGTCACTGATGCCCATGTGAGTGACGGATGTTAACACGAATGAAGAAGCATAAACACGCGTAAGATGCAAGTCTTGTGTGATTAGAGTCATGAATTTACACCGCAAGATGTTTGACTTACGGTAAATGATTACCCGCTGCTCTTTTTCTTTTTATTGAACAACCTCTTTTGATCTCTATCTTCTGGCACTCACTCGCAGACGAGAAACGAAAAGGATACGGTATGAGAGACGGAGACACTAAAAACCATGCAGAACATGCCATATTGATACATGAATCGCGAGCCCCAAGGCATCCGGAGTCGTGTGACTATTTCACTGCCGTCCTCAAAACCCACATGATGAACTTCAAAGACTACGTGCATTCAGATTCTCGAAAAAAAGAAATGACAGACAAACATTAGTCTCAAACACAGTCTATCAGGCTATGTAAGAAATCGGATAGCTATCCTTTATGAAGTGACTTTGCGTAAGACAAATACATGGTACTTTTGATTGAACCTCTAAAGCTTTCAGAACTTGAGTATAGAAAGAATTGGCCTTACATCCCCGAAAGTTACGCAAACAGGAAACTTTTGAAGAAGCGACTGGATTGGAGAAAAGAGTGACTATGAATGGACAGCCAGTGAGCATCGCCAAACAGAAAGCCGCAACGAGGATTCCTACGTGAGAAGCCTTTACGAGAAGCAGAAGATGACTGGCATATTACATGGGGCTTGTCTGTGCACAGGCGAGATGCGCAGTAGGGAAACAAAGTGAACTTCATGTTGCGAGGGCTATCAATCCAGTTCTCCGAGGCTGTAAACCGCCCCTTTTATCTCGCCCCCTAGCAATAGTATCTAAAGCCTCGATATTATCGACCCTCTAGATATCTGTCCTTTCATGATAGAGTTGCAGCAGTGTCTAAGCACCGCCAACGTTGGCAAGCCAGTTCTCAAACTTGGCTTCCTTCTCAGCAGGAGAAAGGCTATGAGTAGATCAGTATTTTTGTTAGGACATGCGTGCTAGTCGAACATACCTGCCCCCAGGCTTGCCCTGGATACCAACGGATGTCTTGAGATCCTCTTCATCGTCCTCATCCTTGTGCTTCATCTTCTTATGGACAGGAGATCCGACCATGGTCTCCGCATCATCGTCCTCCTCGTCCAACATCTCGATCTTCTTCTTAGCAGGAGTAGATCGCTTGCGGCGGGTGGTAGCCTTCTTGGGTGTAGCAGTAGGGGTGCTGTTGGCAGGATCGCCATGTCGACCCTTGAAGTCGCGCATGATGGACTTGCTGAAATGCTGACTGTTGCTGGTAAGTATCTGGACGAGATGAATATGGCTATGGGTTGGGAGGCTCAAGAACCCGAAAGGAAAGACAGCATGGTAAAGATATGAGAAAGAATAGTGAGACTTACGAGATGGCGTCCTTGGTGAAGGAATAACCAAGGGCAGCCATCGAGGCATGGACCTTTGGCCAGTTGAAGCGCATGCGCTCACCATCTTGAGCACCCATGATCACTGCGACGCACAGGTCACGCTCGGCGTTGGCGTCCCACTTCTTCTCAGAGGGAGGCATTGCAGTAGGTGGGAGAATGTTTGATGTAGAGTAAAGTATGTTGCCCTGGGGTTGAGGGATAGAGATGCAGCATGTAAGAAGAAGAGGAGTGGATGAAAGGTGTGGAGGGGAAAGATGGAAGAGTGATGGATGGAAGAAAAAGAGCGATTCTGAACAGTCAATGGGAAAAAGCGAGAGGGTGGAAAAGTCTCAGTGAATGGAAAAGAGAGATATCTTGGGGGGTATAGGCTGCTTGTGGCCCTGCAACTGGTGGAAGCGCTTGATTCCTCTGCGTAGTAACAGAATGGCCGACGACGCCAACAGAGCCACGCAGTTAAGATCATTCTGATACTGATATATCTAGAGGATTTCGCAACTTGATTATCTACAAGTATTACATATACAGTATAGTCCAAATTGTAAGCATCCCATGGCACTGGTCACGAGAATCGGGACCAAACAAGGAGAGTACTCGACAGGCATTGATTAGAAACAGTTTGTAAGTATGCCATATGTGCTTAGCAATATCTCGTAGAACTATTAGTGAACATCGGGGAGGCCTTGACGAATACCCAGTAAAAGTGTAGATACTCGGGACATGCGCATCAACACTTTACGATACTTCTGCACAAAAAAAGAGGGGGGGGGGGGGGGTAGAAAAAGGACAGGTGGTATCTTTCAATTCATCGCAGAGGCATGCTCGTAATATTGCCCTCAAATGGCAAAGCTCTCATCGTAACATCCAAGGCACATGGAAACCATCCTAGCCTAGTTTTACCCCTATTTCTCTGCGACAGGCATGAGCTTGTTGATAACCACTCCAATGCTCATCATCCGTCGAAGACTCAACTTTCAAACCCCTCGACCGTGGAAGCTAGCCTGTTGGTCCATTAGCTGAGAACATATGTGAAAGCATTAAGACATCAACTCACCTTGTAGAAGAAACTCGGACCTAGACCTCACCAACGGTGACCTCGTCCTCAGGCTCGGACCTATAAGACAGTTAGCACGGAACCTGGAAGTTGACTTGGTGAATTCCAACGTACTTGGTGCGCTTTGCGCCCTGGGGAGACATGAGTTCCCCCCCCATGTCGTCCGTCTCCATCTTCAGCTGCATCTTCTCATCCTCAAGATCCTCGTCCTCGTCGACGACGGAAGCCGACTTAGTGGCCTTACGCTTGGATGGAGTGCGCTTGGCGGGCGTCTTGGTGCCGGGAGCGCGCTTGCGGGGAGTACCATTCTCGGAGCCACCAGAGTTCTGGATGGCGGTGGTGTCGCGGTTCTTGCGCAGCTTCTGGACGTGCTGGCTACAAAGACAAATATGTTAGCAGCTGACCTTTAAAACTGTGCGCAAAAGACAGAAGAAAGTCGAGTACTTGATCGCGTCGTAGGAATAGGAGTAACCCTTGCTGCGCATCTTGGCGGCGACGTTGGTAAGGTCAGCCTTGTTCGGCTTGATCTCTTCGAGAAGAGCGAGGAGGAGGTCCTCATGTGAGGCAGCATCCCAGCCTCGAGTGGGTTTACCAGCCCCAGCAGCAGCAGCGCGAGGAGCCATGACGATGGTGTTGATGGACGGTTTGATGAAGGGGAGGGGTTTATGTGTTTGTCTGTTTGTTTGTTTGGGCAGAGAATTACTGATGCCAGATGTTGGATGAAGAGACAGGAAGAGATGAGAAGGGTTTCAGAGTAGAGTTGTCTGAAATGTGGGAAAGGAGTAGGAGAAATGAGAGAAAGGATGAAGAGACAGGAAGAGAGGGGAAGTTGAGATGAATGAAAGTGGGGGATGGGAAAACAACAGTGACCAATATGCAACGGGAAAAAGAGGCCGGAGTCAGAAATCGTACCGAAGAGCGCCCTCAGTGAAGGTGTAGCCCTTTTGCTGAAGATCACCCATGACGTTGCTCCAGTCTTCAGCACTTGGCTTCATGTGTTGAAAGAGACTGATCAGGATGTCTTCGTGGACGTTGGCATCCCACTGCATGACTTGACGCTTGGCCATGGCGACGATGATAGGGAAAGGATGGAGAAGGGGGGTTATGAGGATGTTGATGAGCAAGAACGCAGTTTGCTCAGTGTTGTTGAGAAGTTGAGAAGATGATCTCTTCCGTGAGGATATTTGTATTCACTTAGCCCTAAGGCTTAGAATAGAGGAGTGAAAAGTGAGGCCATGTTTGCACAAAAATGTGAATAGCGTCGCATAACCTCCAAGTGAACCACTCTGACCTTGCCCAAGCGCAGCACAGCAACCAAGATAGTTCAATGACCGAAATCTAAGTAGAAACGCAAACGAAAGATCAAAGAAATGTCAGCACCTACCGCACGGCGTCAAAAGAGGTGGTATATCCGCGCCCCTTGATATACTCTTCAATAGACGACTTGACCGGAGGAGTCAAGCCCCCGCTGACCTGGGCGCCAGTGTAGAGGCCAACAACGAGGTCAAGAAGGAATTCGGCGTTGTCCCAATCGCTCGCTTTTCCAGGCATGTTGAGGATCGTTTCTCGTCGATTGATTTGGTAGAATTGAGGTTGAAGATGTGGATGGGAGTCCAGATGTCGAGGTTGATGGTGGTGGAAAGAGAGGAAAGCTGTGTAGAGCCGATCACGAGATGAATTCATACCTCCAACGAGAACAATGGAACTTACAGCGCAAGATACTCTGAAAGTAGCAGTTGTCATTGTTCCAGCATGAGCATCACTGCAGTGACTCGAAACCTGCATCTCGGGCACTGCCTCGCACTGCGGATTTGAGTGACAATAGAAACACTCTAGCAAGTTTGGCATTGCTACTGTCCTATCTACAACTAAACTTTCGACATACCTAATCAAGAGAAATGATGTACGCTCTCGATCAAGAGACTCCAGCTCTTTCTTCTGCCAGCCGAATCTCAGCTCCTTTTCTTTCATATTATACACGCACCAAGAATGTTCTTTCTGCAAAAACACAGTCCTCGCTCGCTCATTTCTATCCCATCCCTTGCAAACGCAAAGGCCATTTAAGAAATCCCTAGTCTTTAACGCCAATGCCCGTGGTATCAATGTTATTCTACAAGCAAAGCCGGTTGCTATGCCTCACCATAAGTAGCAAAACTGAAGGGGATTAGTTGGCAGATCATTAATGGTAACATTGACACAAAACTTACTCGGAAGCAAAGTCTGTCGACCCATTATGAGCCGCCAGGGCCAAGACAGCTTCATCATCCATATCGGTATCCTTAGGGGGTTCAGGCGAACTTAACCGTGGCCGCTTAGCGGCCGGCTCATCATTATCGATATCCGCTTCGCCGTCAGCATCAGCGTCAGCATCGGCGTCGCCATCAGCATCGATATCCTCGTTAGGATGCTGCAGTGGCTCCGAGGTCAAAGCAGCTTGAGAGTCCGCGTCGTTCTGCCCAACTGGTGCATGTTGAGATGCAGCACTTGCATCGGTTACTTCACGAGCCTCCCGAGGTGCTTCCTGGGAAACATCCTGGGATTGGTATTCAGTTGAGTTTTCCTGCTCTGGCTGAGGCTGTGCAGTTGGCTGTGAAATCTGTTCGGGTTCGCCTTGTTGATCTGGTTGAGGTTGAAACTCTGACTGGAGCTGTTGGTCAAGGGGAGGTTGCTGTTCGGACTGAGGCTGTTGTCCAGGTTGACCGGATTGTACATGCTGAAGGGGATGAAGATGAGCAGGCGCCTGAGGAGTGTCAGGGGCACGAGGGGGACTTGGGTAAGTTATCGGACCCTGAACATGAGGTACGTTGCTGGGGGGAGGAGCTTGTTGAGTAGGAATCGCGGGAGAGATGTTGCCAGGCTGTGCAGCAGGTTGAGCTGGTAGATGAGCGCCATCTTGATGATTGCCAAGAGGAACACCATAAGATTGGACTGTCTGGGGATGAGGATGGGGGTAAGGAGGTACGGGGTTGGGCCCAGGAACGATACCAACTGGCATAGGCTGATCGGTAGGGATTTCTCCAGCTCCTGGAACAGGAACAGGAGGCTGTTTCCTAGGCCGACCTCTCCCAGGGCCGGGACGACGGGTGATCGGATTCATTGTCGGATCATTCCTACGTACAATATCGCCGTTAGGTCCCGCTGTCTCTGCCTTATTCTGAGCTCTGCGAAGCCCCTGAAAATGTTGACTAGATACGTGTTAGTGCTGTGTTATTTGAGAAGTTGGACAGAGTTTGGTAGGGTTATTTGTATATATGAGGTGAGTTGAGTATTGTGTTGTGTGATCATAAGTGGATGTAAACGGGCGACTCAGGTATAAGCCAACTTGACGCGTAACGACCACCAGCACGAATTATACATGGTGATAAGCAAATGATGATAACGATGTGAAGAATGGCAAAGCAAATACGTATAGATAGGCAGGCAAGTATGACAGTAATAAAGCCAAGTACTCACCGGCAGCCTTCATTGGTGAAGCCATAGCCCAGACTTCTCATATGGTTACCAATGGTGGTCCATTCTGAGCCGCTTATGACGCCAATGTTTTTGACGGAGAGAATAGTAAAGAACAAGTCTTTGTCAGCTCTGTCATTCCAATTTTTACTATTCATGCTGAATTCAACGGAAGTAGAGCAATTGTCGACGTGACAAAGAGTGATGGGTTACAAGGCGGCAACGCGACTGTAGATGGTTAGACGCTGTTAAGGCAACGGCTGGATCAATGGGAAAATTGATAGTGTAGGTAGAAATTGCTAAGGGAAGGGGAGCCCGCTGAGGCGCGAGGTTGGGGGGGGATAATGATGGTCCAAGCTTCCGGTCTTCTTGGCATACATTGCCCGGGGAAGAGAACAAAGGGCACTTCGGGATCCGGATGAATATTGTTTCCGAGTCGAGACCTTCCCTTATCATTCGACATTCATTGGATGATGAACTCGAGAGCTTTTGCTTTTCCTAGATGTTCTGTCTAGGTAGGCATATATGAATGTTTGCTTTTTCGACTGCTCGCCTAGATTTGTACAATGCCGAGTCCAACGTTGTCCAGCAATAATCCTTTCTCTTGGCAGACGGCATCATGACTTGTACCTATGTCGTTGCAATGTACATACCTCAGTTTCACACAAACTCAAAATAATAAACTGAATCAGCTTTTGAGATTGACAACGACAAGCAAAACATGTATGCATATCAAATGTTGTTCTGTGATTGGTGATGGTAAAGCAAAGAGAGATAAGAAAACTTAGGATCTCTATCTATACGTAGCCTACCTAATATAAGAAAGACCAGCAAATCTCGTTGACAACCCATTGATGCCAACGTAAACAAACGGTTACCGAAAGAGGATTAGTCCAGCTCAACGTTAGATCATCTGGCTGCTATGGATGTATCCGTAACGGAATGGCAGAGGGGACCCGCCAATCTGCGCCACAAAGTGAAGCAAGGGATTTCAGGGGGGAACAAGAAAAGATGACTTGAAGTGGAGACGGGCTACGAGGTCCCCTCACGTGCTTTCGTTCCCATTTCCTGTCCCGATGAGTCTGAGCAAGGTCCCACCAACTGCGCGCCCGTCGCGTCTCCCACCCACTTCATCTCATGCCCTCCATAACGACCAGACATTGATTCGAGAGCTCTACACGACCATGAAAGCTTTCATAATTGTCAAATACGATTGTTTCAGCTGTGTTTTATATACTCGAGAATTTTCCTGACTCCCAAAGCTCTCGCGGTTGTTGAACTGCTGCTTTTCATCATCGTCGTGGCGGATTGCGACCATCAACTTTTTTCTAGGCTACACCCCTCAGCTGAGCGTCAAGAGGCAAACAGGCAAAGCAAACCTCGGCGGATCGGCTGCATGCTGCAATTTCTTTCATTCTTGAGCCTCGAGACCCCGATCCTTGCTCTTTCTGATGTCTCTCGTCTCATCACAAGTAAAGTGCCTGGTAGTCAGTCTGCTCAAACTTGCATCCAGTTTGAGCTTGCTGCACACCAATAAGCTTGAGCTCAAGCTCAATTCATTCCCCCAACCAATTGGATATTTGCCTGTCAAATACCACGAGGCCATCTGAACAGGATATCTATCGCCATGGATCGCCAAGTCGCCCAACCTGGTCCTCTGTGGTTTCCCCCCTGCGTTGTTGCATGCTGTATGCCCAATGTGCTATTAACTATTCGTCGGTGACCCGCGCAATGAGTCACACTTTGTGGTTTCACCCATTCCTAGGCTTGCAACCCCTGCTCGGGTATGCTTTAGCTTGTCTTGATGTGCCTATTTAGAAAACTTGCTCTTGTCAATTGCCGCTGGCTGGCTACTAACCTTCAGCTTACGAGAATTAAAAGAGTGAAGAAAGAGGGGAATATCAGCTAGACCGGTTTTGAGCAAAACCACTTAAACTTTTACATTCCAGTCTCAAATGAACTCAAATTGAGAGTGAGCATGCCACTGTCTCAATTGATCAATCACGTATTCTTTTCTCCTTTTGAGATCTCATCTGGAAGTAATTCTTCCATGGGACCTGCGGCGCCGTGAGCTGTAGTGGTTGCAGCACACCATGCCCTGGAGACAGGGGCCATGGTGCGCTGGGGCCCGGCGGTCTTAGACTCAAATTTAGTGGGTGTAGCGGGGGGTCATCAACCACTTTACGCGGTGTTCGCGCAGACCGCGCCCCAATTTCCATCAACGGGAGGGATCGCCTGGACCCGACAGGAGGAACAGGCAACTATGGAGCATCGTCTGCATCATGGATCGTAGCATTCTCAGACATTTTCTCTCAATGGCTTGCGCAGCGCATTACGGCACATTGCACGATCCATGCTGTGCCTGTACGGGGATGCTCGGTCCCCCCTGTATCTGCCTGGTTTTAGTCCCCCACAGAGACGGGACAGGAGGTGTGTAGGTGTATGTATATGGATGTAAGTTGGTGTGTGTGGCATCACATTTAGGTTGGATTGGATCTTAGCAGACAGCCCAGACGACTCATAGGTACTGTAGGTAGTTGGGCACTACCTAACTACATATAATACGGATCCCTTCCTGTTTTCCTTCCTTCCATCTCTTCCCTCCTCCGCTTGCCTCTTTGTGCCCTCGTGCCACATCACCTTTGCATCGTGCCATCCACATTCTTCATCAACACTCCAAATTCTGTACTCAAAAGGCAATCCATACGCTACATGCCTTCATAAAAGACTCGTCGCTCAGCTGACCCTCCTCTTCAACGACGGGTTTCCCGCCGAGGCCACTATCTTGGCCTGTTGTATTCTCGCCTCGTCCGCCTCGTTGGCCAGAAAACCCTCAACGTCTGCCACATCGTTTATCACCCACTCATCAATAACTCTTTTCGTCCACTCGATCTGTATCTGAGTGCGCCTCAGCCTTGCCGATTCCCTCTTATCGAATTTACGACATTAGGTTTCACGATTACAGTGACTCCATCGAATCAAGTCTTGATCTGAAAACGCACAGCCTCGTTTTCGGTCAATATACTCATCCCGAAAAGCTAATTCACGCTCACCTAAGGCATCTATCAACCAAAGCTGCCTAAAGTTTCCACTTCATGTTC